GGGGGGCCTGGGGAAGGTTTTCCTCGGGCCGAGCCGATCTCTGGCTCGGCTGCAGGATTTGCTGTAACTAAATTCCCTAGAAACTGCCGAGTGAAGAAAGAGAGAGGCCCTGGACTTGCAGCGGGCTGGAGCAGTGACCACACTCTCCAGAGCAGCTATAAGGAACCTTCCGTCGAAGACAGCTCCAGCTCCTGTTCGGCAGAGATCACCAAACCACCTACAAAAGCCTGGGCAAGATTTTAACTCTTTCATTACCCAGATGAGACTTGCGATTAATCTTTTTATCCAGAGAGAGAGAGAGAGAGAGATCAACATGAAAAGAGACTTTATAAACTACCAGTGACAGGAAAGAAAAGAAGCTTCAGGAAAGGTAGAGAATTAAGAAGATGCTTTAATTAAGCTGAAATATCTCCCTGTTAAAACTATGGAGATGGACAATGAAGTCCTGAAAAGAACTCCTTTAATTCATGATACAGGATCTAGAGAGGAATAGTGTTCAAAGTGTAAATTTGAGTAAAGAGTAATTATAGTATAGTGAAGTGCTGGGAGATTTGAAGCCTTGAGAGGCAATGAGAAAACTGTTGGGAGATTTGAAGCCCTGAGAGGCCATGAGAAAACTGTTTTCTGGTGAAGCTCACAGAAACAGATGAAGAAGACTTTTTTTTTGCCTTTGAATAACTTATCCTTAAAAATGCTATCTCTAGACTCATGGCCCATACATACTTCAGAGTGATGTGAAAATGGGAGGAGTGAACTCTAATAATAGCAGCTCTGAGCAGCTAACATTAGGGCAATAGAAAACTATAACAAAAATAGTTTTCTTGTGAGAAACTCCATAAATTAACAGGAAGAAACTTCTGTTTCTCTATAAAGACTGGTGAAAACACTAGCAAGAATTGGGACTGTTTTAACCATCAAAGTTCCAGAGTTTTTGTCTCTGTTGTCATGTGAACGGGGAAGTGGTGGGTAGACAGGGGATGGAAAGGTTTTTCTGGAGGTTTATTCTGGTGTTCTTGTTGTTGTAGTTTGTCAATAAACTTTCTTTTTTTTCCCTTTTAAGCTGTATGCCTGTTTTGCTCTTGTTCTAATCCATATCTCACAGCAAGAAGTAAGTAATTTTCTTAGTTATTGGTTTAAAACCACGACAACAGGGTATTAAGTTACCCTTTCTCCTCCTTTCTTTGGGAATGTACTAATTTCTAGCAAAACTCTGCTGCTCCCACAGTTGGAAACTAATGAAGCATCACCGCACTTTTATTTACGTGCCGTGAATGTAGCAAACTACCTTGTATACTTGAATTATATCATAGATATGACAAACTTAAACAATAAAATATACAGTCTTCTTACACACACAATTGATTTTTAGTGTAGGGAAAACAGCCTTCCTTAAGCATTACCATCATCATGGGTCCCTTCCCCAATGGGAATCCCAACATACACCATGACGTTAACAGCATCGGACACATCCAAGTGCAGGTTTGTGGTACCAACTCGTCTGTCTTCTGCAGTAATTAAACCTATAACAGAGTGCAAAATAAAACCAAATTCTGTAACTAATCTCTTATAGAAATAGCCTAACTGAAAAATCTGTCTTGAAAGCTAACTTTTTACAGCAATGAGAGCAGAAACCAAAGACAAACAGCAACTGAAATAGGTATGTTCATGTCATGTGTAGCATAAGTAAAAACTTCACTTAAGTAAGTAGTATTTTAATTTTACAGGAAACAGAAGTAACAAACCTAGTTTACCAAAGTCATGAGAAAACGAGCATTTTAACACCAGAGCCAGAACTTGTAGTTTACAGTTTTGTCTCTCTGAGGGTCATTTATACAGTCTGTACTAGAGAACTTAGATATGATAAGCACAAAGCAAGTCTTCCTTTGCTTGAAGGCATGAGAGAACTGCTTTAAGTGACATCAGCATCCTACTGTGTGCAGCAAGTTAATGGACTGTTAGAAGTATAAGCCTCCAGCTGTTTTTTATTTTCTTGTACTAATCTGTGAAATCCATGACCAGTTGAATTCACAGCAGTTAGTGATCAACTCATCATTTTCGATTCAGATTACAATTCAGTAAGGAAAATCTCCTGCACACTCAAGTGCTTTTACCTTCGTACGTTGAAGGAATTTAAACATCTCAACTGACTGTAAGTAATGGAGAAAGATTTCAAATGTTTGCTTCTTAATTATTTGACCTTCTTATTAACATGTTCCTTTTTTTTTAATCTCTTGCACTTCAACAGCAACCTCTCTTTCTACTTCTGCTTAACCATCTCTAGCAAGTAACATGGCAGAGAATTAGAACATAAGAAGAAAGTATCTTTGTATCAGCAAACACAGAAGTGTGCCTCTAAGAGTTTTTAGGATCACCATTTTATTTATCTATTTTCTGTTTCAAATACAAGTTTCTGAAGTTAAGAACTCAACTCACTGAACAGTACCTATCATAACAGGCCAGAGACAGATCAAAGTGCCCAGAAGGTGGGTCATTTTCCTCTTTAACACTTCAGTTGCTCTGAAAAAGATATTAACTTTTCCTTGAACCCTGTATTGGTATTATGCCTGTTATATGTATTAATAATTGTTTGTAAACTTACTGTACGTACGCCTCTTAGATATACAAGGCAGAAAAGAGCACATCTGACAGAGAGAAGGTGAATGTAAGAATAGATTTGAAGGACTAAATGAAAAAAAAAGTAACAGCAGGCTCTGGGATAAGCACTGAGTTTTGACTAATCCCACAGCCTTGTTTTTGCTCTAAGTGTAATTAAGAGTCACAAAAACCAGCATCTGCAGAACAATACTCACATACCATATGCATTGTACATTTTGGGACCCAAGTCAGGACGGACAAAGTAGCTTGGCAGCCTAGAAGCCAAATTCAGTCTGCCATCTCTCTTGGTATATTCAGGAAGAGGAAGATTTTCCATCAAGTCCTCAAACCTAGAGAGCAAAGACAGAAAAAGGCAGGTTATCCTCCTGTAGCACCTACAGCAGTCCTGTCAGCACTAATACTAAAGGTTACTTACCTCGTAGGCATCATATCTCTGAAGTCCTCCCCTGGAGGCCAGTCCTTTAACTTTAGTACCATTGGCTGACCATCATCTGACCTGAGCCGCTCTGCAAGAAACAAATTAAGATTTCTGCACGTAATATCTTTTTTACCACAGCCCACTACCTTGTTAAAGCTGTAAGGGTTTTTGTACCTCTTACAATGCACAGCAAAAGGGATCCTGGTTTTGTTTTGGGCTTCCAGGAAATATCATAGTATGACCAACAGCAGTTTAACAACGATAGATAATAGATAGATAGATAGATAGATAGATAGATAGATAGATAGATAGATAGATAGATTAGATAGATAGATAGATAGATAGATAGATAGATAGATAGATAATCACCTACAGCAGAAGTTTGACAGCACTTGTACAGATGCTAAGTTTTAGAATACTTTCTATTCAACTTCAAAAACAAGCTTTTCCAAAGCATTCTTCCTTATTCCTTACTCCTTTTTACCAAAGTCCAAGGGAGATTTATCTTTAATTTCAAGAGAAGTGGTACTTCTATAAAATTAAAGTTATTGATTCATGTTCTGAAATCAGCCTTAACTTCAGTGTAAAGCAAGAAACTGTGGCACACCACATTCAAAAAAGCTAAAGGGTAGATGGTCACAAAGGAAGACAGCCTTTAGTTTTTCTAATTCTTCTTTGCTGGAGGCACTCAAATTGGAAGAGTGCCAAAACCAAACATTTGTTCTTCAATTTAAGAGTTTAACACGAGTCCTGACTTGAAATAGAAAGCAGGCAGCAGAGAAAGATGGCATTACACGTGCAACAGTGGATGTATTCTATGACAGCACTGACCATATGCTGTTTTACCTCAGATCTTAGGGCTACCTTAGATCTCAGGGCTAAGACAGTCTATCTGGAAGTGGTACATGAGTAGCTTAGAACTCACTGTAACATTTAGAGAAAAATAAAGTTCGTTCTTCTACCAGATTTTTCACAACTCTACATGAGGCCACCAATTGAAAAACTAGGTCTATAGCAGTCTTAACACTTTAGCATCCCCACTTCCCCAGAGAGTAAGACCCTTCACTGCTTCCTGCCTTACCAAGGATTGTCAGCCAAACTGATCTAGCAGAGCTCTTGACAGCATTGGAAGAGATAGTATATCTAAGAAATTAGGACTTGGAGACCTGTAAATCACATCTGCATTACATATCAATAGGCTACAGAACACAGACTGAGTTTGCAATATAAAAAATATTTTACTGAAATTGAAAGGAAATAAGAACTGCAGATATGCAAACTGAAGTGACTGATTTAAAGATAACTAGCTTTGCTTGGCTGCAGATTTTAGAGAGGCGAGTGGACTGAAAAGCTCAAGGACATGAATTTAAAGATGTTTCACAATTTCCCATACTCAAGATGTTGAACTCAACAAGGATCTTTGCTCTAAACAAGAAGCAGCTTGTAGGAAGGCTATTCAGAAGGGAGAGAGTGAAGAACTACCTGGATGAAAACATATAGATCTGACAAATTACATGAAACTGGACAAGTCCTAGAAAACATCTCATCAGCAAAGAAAAGCAGGTGTAAGAAGGATTGAAACAAAAAGTCAGACCTTTCAAAAGTCCACTTTGAGCCCAAAAGTATTAAAAGAAACAGCAAAATATTAAAATTAATTAAAGTATCACACAGAATAATCTCAATAACACCTCCAAAGTAAGGGGCTGTTCTACATCTCTTTAGTAACTTAATGTGAGAGTGGGAGCCAGCCATGTATTTCATAAATTTAGGATTCATGTAATGCAGAGAAGTCAGAGATATTAGGTAATTTGACAACAGTTTTCATAAGAATTAGTATGTGAAATCTCTGGACTAGTAGCAAATAATACTCCTCTATATTAGAGACTGAACATAGCTGAAGAAACTCTAAATATAATGCACTTAAAAGGAACTATCAAGAGTGACAAGGTTTGCCAACCTAGGTCACTAATATTTCTCATGTAGAGTGAGATAAAGGCTTTGTCTAAAAGAAAACCCAAAGCTGATTTTGCTGAAAGAAGCTTAGCTGCCTGGAGACAAACTACAAGTAACATTTGTCAAAGATAACTTGACCCATACAAATTCACTATTTTCATGAATAACTCCAGCACAAAAGTGAAGAGTTTGTGAACTTTCCCAATTACTGTCAATACACAAAGACCACACCATTATATCCTCCAAGGCCATTTATTCCTGATTAATAACAAAAACAGTATGAAATTTAACAGTACAAAATACAATCCTCTGTACTAACCATTTGAAAAAACAAGTCAAAAGCGGAGAATTTTTTGATTAGAAAATAACTAGGAAGGGAATATTCTTGGTCTGCAAATCTATGATTTCACTGACTGTTGAATGAACATTCCATAAAGTCATCCACCAATCACCACCATCACCGTTTCTGCAATATGCACACAGCAATAAATATAGAAAACATTTTATACGCAACTCTAAAATGAGCAAAAATGCAATGAACCTTTACAGCTCTAACATCCATAAGACCATTAAGATCTAGGTATATACAATCTAAAACGGAGCACTTTGCTTTTCAGAAGTTCTTTAACCTTATGTGCCCAGAAATTTTAGCTGGTTAGTTTCTCCATCCACACTTAACAGAAGATTTTCTCAAAGAACTAGAGCATTAAATAATGTGTCATCATGTGAGGCACGCACATACATAGCATTGCTATTCATAATAGATATAAATTTGTATTTGTACTCACAGATCATCTACTACAAAAAATAATTTGCAACGTCAAATTTACTTGACTGATGTATTCCACCAAACACAAGTTTTAGTATCAAAAGTCTTCATCTGTTTTAGCTGTGCAGGTTCCCTTTAATTTTACAACAAAAACTGAGGTTGAAAGGAGAGCAAAGGTAGACACATTACTTACTGTCTTAGAAATGGTAACTGAGGATTAATTTAAACAGGGAAAAGTTAAAAAAAAAAAAAGTACCTTCCCATGAAATGGATCATTTTTTGACACATGAAAGTAACACACAGCAACACAATGCAGTACAGACAGCTCTCTTGGACAGTCCTGCCCTAATCTTCACCAATAAAGCATTTTCTAAGGTGTGCTATACATAAGGAGCAATGGCTTCTTTGGATGAGACTGACAGGTATTGGGATTTTTTCTTAATTTATTTTTTAGGAGAACAGGTGGAAAATGAAGAGTTGAAGGTAGGAAGACAGACTGCTCAGGTAAACTAGTCAGCCATAAATATTACTTACTAGATATTATCTCAAAGCCATCCCAGAAGTCACGCACTTTCACGTCTGAAATTATGGCACAGTTCCTGCAGTTCACCAAATCTACATCTTGATCTCCAAATTCCAGGCTGAAAGCTTCTGGTTTCCAAAGCTCTGACTTCAACTTCTTATGGACACCAGATACCAGCACGGGCTGAGAATACAAAGATGAATGCTTACTCCACCATAACCAAATTTCTTACACATGCAGCCAAACCATCTTAAAAGAGACAAGACTCCTGGCTACCACCATACAAAAGACACCATAAGTCTATTTTCATCCACGTCCGGTTTTTGTGCATCAAGCTAATAACCAGAGTCCAATAACCACGCCATGTGCAGTTGCCTTAGAAGTGGTGCTGGATTAGACTTGCCAAGGCAAGTGCATTAGGTCTCCATGGCAAGGTGTTGGCAGCAGGTGTAGGCTCTGTGAGAGGAGACTGAGAGCTGGCCCTTGGTTCCACCTGGCTCAAGACCCATCACTGGCCAAAGTTGAGCCCATAGTTGATGCTTGTGGCATCTCTGTGATAATGAGAAAGGGTAAAAAGTTCTTCACAGCTGACACGCATGTGTGTGTGAGAAAGAGATGGGGGGGACACACAACACATGAACAGCAGGCAGGGAGAAGGGAGAGAAACAGCTCCAAGGTCAGTGATGGAGGAAATGCTCACAGCCCATCAAAGAGCATGGTGAGGCAGGCTGTCCCCCTGCAACCTGTGGAGGACCATGGTGAAGTAAAGATCCACCCGCAGTCCACAGAGGATCTTGCACTGCATCAGAGGGATATTCCCTGGAGGAAGTCCATGGAAAGCCCATGCTGGAGCAGGCTCTGGCATAAGCTGTAGGGAGAATCCCACTAAATAAGCAAGTGTTGTGGCAAAAACTGCTCACTGGGGACCCACATTGGAGCAGCCCATGAAGACAACTCATGTCGGAGCCATTTGTGAAGGACAGTATCCTGCGAGAGGAATTCCACACTGAAGCAGCAGGAAAGCGTGAGGAGGAAAGGACAGCAGACAAAGTGTTATGAACTGACCACAACTCCCATCATCCCCACTGTGTCACTCCAAGGGTTGTGGTGGGAAGGAGGTAGAATAGTCAGAGATGAGAGAGTAAAGCTGAGTCTTTAGGAAAAAGGTGAAGTGAGGGGGAGAGGTAAGGTGTTTACTGATTTGTCTTTTCTCTGCCACCCTACTCTATTTTTAATTGGCAATAAATTCAACTCCTTTATCACAATTTAAACCTGTTTTTCCCATGACAGCAATCACTAAGGGATCTCCCTGGTTTTATCTTGACCCAGAAACTTCTTCACCTGATTTTCTTCCCCTGTTCAGTTGAGAAGGGGGAGTGAGAAAGTAGCTGGGTAGAGTGGTCTGGCAGCCAGACAGGGTGAATCCACTTGTGGTAGTAGAGTAGGTGCAGAATTCTACCTCCTTTCCTTTTTCTCAAGCACACGTGCAACTACCACTAGAAATAGCATTTGTACTGAAGCTGTCTCATGTGAAATTTTAATATTTTAATATGAATTCTTTAACTATTTTACTTGTTATTTATGTATAATCACATATCAACATTAATTCTGTACGACAAAATCACATAGTGGAAAAAGGTTGTTCATTTGCAAAAGGGAAGATGCTTAGGCTAATGATGTACATATATTCCACACAGATATTTCAGTGGCCTCTCCCCATAAACACTCAAAGCATTTGCTAAACTGACAACAGATGGGAAAGATACACCAGACAATCCTTCCAACACTGCCAAAACTTTAGTTATGTGCAGTCATAGGTTGGAGACAGAAATCACGACTCGAGTCTTCTTGATTGTGAGACAAACAGCATGTTTTATTGTTTGGAACCTTCTTATATAGTGAGTTTAAAATTCCCGGATTTAGACAACTGATTGGCCAAGGTTTTAGCACTGCCCAGCTCTTTGACTAATGATATGTCTGCTTTCTGGATTGAACATGATTGCCTGAGGTCCCTGCTTGAGTTCGAATTTAACTCATCCCTGCCCCATCTGGGGACTTGTTTTACTTCTATGCTGGTTGAGTTTGGGGGTCCGATACAGCCAAATTTATTGGCAGCTATAAGCTAACTGCCACTGTGACACAAAACCTTTTCAGTTCCTCTCACCCTACCATCTCAAAAGAAAGCTACCAAACTTGAGAGAAAACAAAGAGGGTATGAAGTCAACTTGCACATGGACTATTCCCGCTGCTACCTATGTTCAAATGGCAGTTCCCACGGCTACGTAAGTTTGAATTAATTCCAAGCTGTGCCCTATAAGTTAACAAGGATCTGATAGTGGGTCCTGGTTTATTCACACAAAGAGCTCAGCACAACCCTGAGAAACACAGATGTCCCTAGATGTAGTATCCATGCGTTAGGCAAAGATACCTACGGAGCTATATACAAGCAACTTCAAAGTTATACTGCTTAAAAACACTCCAGTAACTAACTGCCGCTTCCTTTGTATTGTCCAATGGCCTCTAAAAGGCCTAGTTTTGATTTTAGTCCCTAAATGAGGACAACTATTGATTCAGGAATGAATGGAAAAAACTCTGGGGTAATAGAAATGGCTTTGTTTTTCAAATACAATATAACACAGCCATTAAGTTCTAGAAGGCAGCAATGAAACCTCAACTTCAGAAGAGTGAGATTTAAGAAAACAAAAAGGGGTTGTTACTTTACTCCTGTGAATTTCAGGGGAATGAAAAAAGCAAAAAAAAAACCCCACAGAAACAGTTAGATTGGAAATGATTACCCTCACAACGAAAAAGAGTATTTTCTTGTGTTGAAGCTGAACTTCCTGTACCTGCTCCCACTCGTCCTGTCAGTGGCCACTGACAAGAAGAGCCTCGCTCCCTCTTCTTAAGATTTCCTTCCCACACTCTCCTTAGCCTTTTTTTCTCTAGGCTGAACAATCCCAGTTCACTCAGCCTCTCTTCATCTAAGGGATGCACTAGACTCTTCATCTTTGTGACCTTTGCTGGGTATCCTCTAGTAAGTCCACAACTCTTTTGAATTGGAGAGTCCAGAACTAAGGGGAACCATCACTTCCTTCGACTTTCTGATAACTCTCTTTGTCGTGAGGATACATTCTTGGCTCATGGTCATTCCCTTGCTCACTGAGACCCCAAGATCCTTCTAGGCAAAACTACGTTCCAAACAGTTGCTTCTCAGCAACTGCTATAGGATGTTATTCTTCCTTGATGCACAGGACATTACACTTTTCCTTGCTGAGCATCACCAGATTCTTTTCAGTCCAGTTCTCCAGCCTGTTCTGAATAGCAGCACGACCATCTGCTCTAGCCATCATTCCTCCTAGTTTTGTACTGTCCGTAAACTTGCTAAGGGTCTACAAACCCTATCCCATCTAGGTTACTAATGACATGACATGACAAGTACTACTTACCCCAAAAGTGACCCGCTATGATATACCACTAGTGACAGTGGTCTCACACATCTCTGGCATTTCAGTCAGTTGTAAGTCCATCACAGTGCTCACTTACCAAGTATGTGCTTCACTTTGTCGGATGACATTATGACAGTGTAAAAAGCCTTTATTAAAGTTAAGATTAAAAACATCCAGTACCTTCCCTTCATCCATCAAGCCAGTCATCTCATCACAGAAGGCTACAAGGCAGGTTAAGCATGATCAACCAGTATTCCTGAGCTCCTCTTTAAGACCATATCCCCATGAGATTTTTCCAAGCAAGTATCTGAAAAGGTGAAAGCCTGCTCTCCCAAAGCCCAGATTTGTGATCATGATTTTTTGCTTTGCTCCCTCCTCTCAGAATCTTGATCTGAATGCCACCATCTAATAGTCACTGCAGCCAAAGGTGCCCTGGATCTCCACATCAACCAGTTCTTCCTTGTGTGAAAGCGTGAGGTCCAGAACAAGTGCTCTTCCCTAGCTGTTTCCTTGATCAGGACACTGACATCAATGTAGTTCAGAAAATTGCAGGACTGCTTGTGACCTGCTGTACTGTTCCTTCAGGAGGTTATCAGGGTGGTCCCACAAGGCTCAGGAAATGTGAACACAGGGCTTACGCCATTTTTCTGAAGATGGCCTTATCATGTTTGTATGGACAGTTGGTCTGCAGCAGATACTTGCCATAATGTTGTCCATGTTACTCTGCTCACTGCTTCTGGCCCATAAGTTCTTGTATGGCTCATCATCAGTTCCTACACAATTCCAAGCACTCTAGCTTCTTCTTCACAAAACAGTAATGCTCCCTCCTCACATTCCCGGCCCACAATTCCTGTGTTGTCCTTCCTGAACAGCCTCTACCTATTCCTTCCCATACTACAGCATACTACATGAGCTATCCCACTACATTGTCATACCAATGAGACCACGGCTGCAAAACTGCACACTAATTCCTCCTGTTTGTTCAATGTGCTGCATGCATTAGTGTACAGGTACTTCAGAAAGACACCTAGTCATGCTGATTTCTCAGAAAGCGTGAGAGCTTTCTTCACAATGCTGTGATGCACACATCCTTACTTACATGCATGTGCTTGGGGTGGACATCTTTCATCCTTGGTTTCTTGAGTATAGGATTACTCCTGTTCACATCACCTCACACTGCTTGCTTGCCAAATCAGTCAACTAATCCCTTCCTTGATCACTGGTCATACTCTCCTTCCCTTGTTCCTGCTTACAGCTCTCCTCGTAAGGCTGGCCAGTCTGTTGGCAAAGATGCTTTTTTTTTTTTTTTTTGCTTAGATGGATCCTATCTCTTCCAAGCAACCCTCAATCCTCACAGAGGTCCATGATCATAAAAACTCTCTTGTTTAAAACCAACTATGGCTGACATGCAGGATCTGTCCACTCCCCTACCCCTCACTGGCAGGAGTAAGAAGACCATGAGAGCTCCATGGCCTTGATTAATACTCCCAGACCCATGCAGTCACTCGATTTCCCCAGTAGTACTGTTTGTGCCATTACAGAAAAGCAGCAGAGGGCACATGTTGGAGGGACAGGTAAGCTTTGGTAGCCTTTCCACTATGTCCCAAATGTGACACCCTGACAAGCAGCAAACCTCCCTAAGATAACAAAGCAAATACAGCAATCTCAAATCTTAATACATTCCCTCATCACAGCAAAGAATGGTAACATTTAAGGCAATACAAAAGTTTAAGCATATTCTACAACAAACACTAGGGATCATGTATGAGTAAAATAACAGTACCTTTCACAGGATGTGTAGAAAGCATTACCTGGTAGATTTCAAGCTGATGGATATACCAGCTGTCTTCAGAACAGAAAAATTGTGACATTTTGATCCCTGTTGTATTCACTTGACCACTTGTAAACAGCAATTAAAAGAAAGCCCAAAACAACCGAACTACTTAACTTAGTAGAACCCTTCTGGCTATTAAGCAGCAAATTTGCCATGGAAGAAAGAAAATATTGTCTCTAGTGAAGAACACAGATAGGGCTCCAAGATAAAATGACAGTGGACTTGCCTGGTAGACATCTCCTGCCAAATCTGCTCCCAAACTACAGATAACAACAACAACAAAAACTCCAGTACTATACCAAATCCTAGCATGAAAATTCAGAAAATAACAGGTTGCTATAGGGTGAGAATCCTAGCATACCCCCAGATGAGCAACGGCCATCTTCAGGAGAGCAAAATGCTCTTGAAAAACAACGTCAGCAAGAATTACTCTTGTGGTCTCAGTGAATTCTGGGATATTTCTAAGATATGTCAGTGAATTCTGACAATTTCTAAGACAAAGGACCCAAAAAATTTTGCTCCTTTGGAGTGACACTGAAATAGTGCCATTTATTATCTAAGCATTGAGGGAAAATCATTTCCTCTTTTAACAATTTGGGGTGCCACCACAGATCTTCACATAGTACAGACCTAGTATCCAGAGTGCATTTATTGTGCTGGGGAGGGTGGATAAAGGTTTTTTTCCAAATAACCTTTTCCAAACCACAAAACAGAAAGAGGATTTGGGAAAATGGTGGTAGAATTAATGTTCTTTCACTTCACCTTTAAAGGTGCAGCTAGGATGTACAGGAGGATGTAAGCCAAGAAAGAACTGTGACAGAGCACAGTTTCTTGAGAGAGTCAATGCTTGAAGAAATTCTGTTTAAAATAACCTTGTTGAAACAGTAACACCTGCCTGGGTCACATGCTCTCTCTTATGCAGGGACAAGGGAGGTTGTTCCATCCCTTTTCACATTTCAACAGGAAACTCCAGTGACTGTAACACCACCTCAAGGATTGCTGAATGAGCAAACGATTTGCCCAGTCTGTTCCTACTCAAGGGGTCCTCTGAATGATAAAATGACCCAAAAGCATACCTTGGGGCAAAGCCTAAAATAGTGGGTCACAAAGAGTACAAGAGTATAGCAGTTGTAGCCAGAGCCTCATGGCGTGCACCAACTTGGAAGGCGATGCATACTGCAAGCTACCATCGGACACAAGATCCATAATCATATCTCTAGATTCCTCAAGCAGTCTCTCAAGACCCATTACCAGTCAAGAACTCCACCATCATAAGCAGCATCTTGCACATGGTGATTAACCAGTCTCACTGTCAAAGAAACTGACAGGCACATTTTTTGCAGGCAGTCTCAAGATATTTAGGATCCCCCTAGGAGAGACAGAAGTATTTCCTGACAGAATGGGTTGAGAGAATTATCAAAGTATACTAACCAGAAACTACGAAGCTCTTTGCAAAGAAAAGCAGATGATGGACACCACAGCATTGCAAAAGAATGATCTGAAATCCCTTGTAAATCAGAAAAATACAACAGGATGTAAAATAAGAAAAAAAAAAACCAACCCAGAAACAAGGAGATTCCTATGTGCCCCAAAAAAGTCAGGGCAGGAAGGCAACTGCACTTATTGGGAAGCTGGCAATGAAGTTTCTCGTCAGACAAGTGAAGGTGAGCTGCACAGTACCTTCCTAACTATTAGGAGCCAGCCAGAGGAATCATGAACCGGAATGCAGCTGATGGCACAACAGCCATGTTTGCAGCTCTCACAGCAATGTGCTAGTTGTGCTTGTGCCCAAGGAACCCAGAGAATGTGCAGTTCCATAGGACAGCCTACACTTAAATGAAAAGTACTCCTGTCAGGAATGGACTCTGAATGCCAAAAGAGGTACGTGCAGCCTGCTCCTCCACCACACCTCAGCATCTTGTGAACAGCCACAAATAAGTATAGAATGTGACTTCCAAGTGCATTAGCACTGTAACAACAGACTAGCTGACAACAAGTACTTCTCCAGAGAAGATGATGAGGGACCTAAAGGTCTAGCTCCAATGGTCTCAATTCTGAGTTGTGAGTGAAGGTAACTGTATCAGAGGCACCTACAGAACCAAGTGCCAGGAATACAGTTTAAATAACAATGGACATCATCCTCTGTGGGTACCCTTCCTTTGCAGCAGCAATCACTCACCCATTTTTTAAGATTCAGGTTGTCTGACCAGGCTGATCTTACCGACTCGCTGGAGAAGTCTGAGCTGAACCCCCACAGACTGACATCTGAAAAAATGGCTATGCTGAGAGTAGGTCTAAGGTACAGTCTGTTGTCTGAAGGCCTAGTCACTTGATGGCACCTCAGACAATCCTTTAGAGTGCTATATACATGAGTTGTTGAGCCTAGAACAATATTGGGTTCCCACTGGCTGTAGTGCTCAGGGTGAGATCAAGTACATCCAAAATTCAGTAGACTACTGCATGCAAGATTTTCGATCTTGCACATTCTGCAGCTGGAAGGAATGAACCATTCCCTGAGGCTATAAAGCATGTATGTATTGGGGGGTAAATGCTAAGGTGCACACAGGAAATCAGAGTGGATTCACTACTGGACTGTACTAGAGCAGAGCAGGTTCAGCACAAAGCACACTACAACTAAAAGGGCTGTCACAGCAAGCACTTTCGTGATAGTAAGCTGAGAAAAGCTCAGTATGCAACAGCATATAGGCTTGAGTCAATACAGCATAGAGTGAACAGGGCTGCTGTGTCCCCTGTTTATAAAGCTACAGTTGAAATATTCATTCACCATATTCACTCAGGAGAAACTGGCCAAAGTCTGAATAGACTGTTTTTACCAAGGTAAAGACTGCAATTTCTGGACACTTATAAGCAGCAAGGGTTGGATACTTATCACCCACCTGGCCTTGTTTCCAGCATTCCCTGAAGATCTTCCAGTTGTTTTTGTTGCTGGGATCATGAAGGCAAAGAAGTCTACCATCACACAGCCAAGAGTGGGAAGTGTGTGGATCCAGCACATTTAATCCCATTACCATTTCCTTCACCTCTCTCTGTGTGTCAGCTAAATTACTAGCTCGTTTTGCAGCATCAGACGTCTTCTTGTTTTCCACCACAGAAGCAATGATATGGTCCAAGAAGTTTGGCAGGCTGGCTTTACCTTTGACCCCCTAGAAGACATAAATCGGGAGGTGAGTTTTGTCTTTCAAGAGTATAAGTATTAATGTATATCTGCTCTCCTTCAGACTTTAGTCACGAACAACCTTTCGCTACTAGGAGAACATGCGTCAAAAACAAACTGGCTCAGAGACAGACTTGTATCCAAGTAAGAAAAGAAATGGCTATGGCTCTGTTTTACAATGGTAGAAGTTAAAATAACCGACTAAAGGCTACCTAGAAAAATATTATGCAGACATAAAAGAGAAAACTTTAATGATCTAAATTCAGCTACTTTAATCGCATAAATAGTTCATATTTTTTCTAACTTCATTAATATCCCAACTCTATTTCCCCGTTTTCCTCATCCCATTACCAAGGAAGTGAATTCAACCTTGGGACACATAAGCTGATGGATATGCGAACACTAAGTAAACATTGCTAGAGAGAGGAGAAAGTGCTTCCTATATGTCAATGGAACCACTAGTAGACAGACTCTCTGGTTCAGATTGCCATGATCCTCAAGGGACATTTAAAACTCAGGGGGTGTTTAAAATTCCTAACAGGTTAGAAACACAAATTATCTTTTAACTTAAAAAAATAAAAAGCCTGTCTATAGGCATTATTTATAGCAAAATACTTCGGACACTAAATATATTTCATATATTCAACGGAAGATGAACACTTATTGGATCTTTATTCACACATTTGTTGGAGGGGTCAGGGGTGTGACAGATTTCTGGTAGCAAAAACCTTCTCATTGAAGTGAAAAAAAAAAATCAAAATAAACCAATCAACACCATGCCCTCCCCCCTCCCAAAATTCTAATCTTCTTAAAAACTAAAGTTCAACAGATAAAAATTTATCATATATAGAGCTATCAATCTAAAACATAACATTATTCATTACTGAATATATTAATTCAATAAAAAATACATAGGAATTGTAGAAGAGTCTAGGTCTAGCAGATCTAGAGATCATATGATGTAAATTTCTGTTGAAATTAGGTTTTGTTCCCCTGGGCTGAGTCATACCACACTTTAACTTTATGGGGAAGGAGATGAATTCACTTCTCAGGGCAGCCTATTCCACTGTTTAAATGTAAAGGGAGAATTTTTTTCTTATATCCAGATAGAATTTCTCCTGAAGCAACTGGTATTGCCCCTTGCCCTGTTAACCATGCATCCTTATGAAAGGAGTACCTCCATATTCCCTACAACAACCTTTTAGATACGGTAAGATTGATCAGATCCCCAACGCATTCTCTTCTCTAGGATGAAGAGAACCAGCTTCTAGAACCTTTCCAAATGTGTTGAGCTCTCCAATGCTTTAATCATTCCCTATGACCCTTCTCTGGATCCCGTGCAATTTTTCACATTCATTCATTTCACTGTCATTCTTCACCTGGGGAAATCAAAACTGGGAACAGTGTTCCAGGTGTAGCCCAACAGGGGCTGAATGAAATAACCACATTTCTTGAAGAGCTCCAGCTGTATGCTTCCTGATACAGCCCAGAACTGTTTACCTTTGCAGCTACAGGTGTGCAGTGCTGCCCAAGGTACAGCTTGCTGTCCACCAGGACCCTGGGCTCCTTTAAGAGGCGCTGCCCCAGTGGTAGTCTGACTCCACTCTCTACTGCTGCCTGGAATTATATTAGTTTTCTACAGTCCATCTTACTCAAATAAGACTAGCTCATAACATCATCTGCTTTGGATGGTCTTAAAAATGTACCATTACTCTGACTCTCTAGAGGCTGTAAGACAGATAATATGCAGCTTAACTATTAAAGACAATGCTTATTCTTCACAACAGACTATCAATGGTCTAGAAAGATCAAGATGACTGTCTCCCTGAGCAGCAGTCTTCCTTCTATCAATTTGAGTGACACCACTGTTGTTTCTCAGGTATGTTTTTTTCATTCTATATGAAGCATCAAGACATTCAAGCCAGGAGCTGGACCAGAGTTCTCTATAAGTTCTTTAAATCTAAATTACTAATTTACTAATTACTAAATTAAAAATTTACTAATTACTAAATTACTTAATTAAGATCAGAAGTCAGGAAAGCAAAAACACACATTACACAATAGATCTGATTATATGTGGTGAGAGAATGCATAGAGTTGCCGGGACAGGGATACAAGTTCAGACAGGCTATCTCAAGCCTTGAAGGAACAAGTTGCTTTAAAACAAGTGACCACAGTTTCTTTGCCTGTACTCAGTGATGACAGGCAGAAGTATTCTTGGATTCACTTTCCTGTAGCAGCATCATATTTTCATGTACAGTTCCCTCTACTAAAACCAACCACCATGGACTACTATCAAGGTTCCAGCCAGCCAGCTTTCCTGGCAGAGAGTTGAAAAAAATCTACTATGACACAAACCATTTAGTCTTCCCCCCTATTCTATCTGCCTAAGCTTTTGGAGAAAGTATTCACCAAAAAGAGTGAAGTGTTGATAAATTCCACAGAATCTAACCTTCTCCTTAAATTAAATGCTTCTAACCACTTCAAATAGCATTGATTTGTTCAGGTTTTTTCAAAGTTACTTCTTCTAAAATGGATTAAAGTATCCTTATTCCAGAAAAGGCATTCAGAAATAGCAACTACACCTTAAACTCACAGAATCACAGAACCATAGAATATGCTGAACTGGAAGCTACCCATCAGGATCACTGAGTCCAACTCCTGGCCCTGCACAGGACACACCAAGAATCCCACCCTGTGCCTGAGCACATTGTCCAAATGTGGTGATTCAGCTGTCTGCTGAACATTTTGTCCAGAAGCATACTGAGAGAGACATCATCAAAAATTTACTTCCAGAAAGATTACATCTACTGGCTTCCCTAGATGAATGAGGTGGCCCTGTCACAGGAAATCACGTTCAACAAGTAGGACTTTCACCCACATGAACCCATGATGGCAGTGACCGATGACTGCATTGTACCCCAGCTGTTTTCCAGTACTTCCCAGAATAATCTTCTCCATTATTACACTGGACACTTAAGTGAGACTGATACGCCTGTAGTTTCCAGGGTGCTGCTCTTTGCCCTTTTAGAAAATCAGGACAACATTTGCCAGCTTCCAGTCAGCTGGGGCCTCTCCAGATTCCCAAGACCACATGAAACTCAGTGAGAGAGGCCTTGCAATGACATCTGCAGCTCTCTGAAGGTTCTCAGATTAATCCTATCAGGCCCCATAGATTTGTAGTGATCCAGCTGGATCTGGAGCAGCAGATCCTGCCCAAGTATATTCTAGCTCAAATGCCTTTCAAGTATAGGTAAGTTTAAAGAACTGGTTTACTCTTAAGTTTTCTGTGGTATGCTCTTACAATATTTTTAAAGATGTGAAATTTTAAAGTGAGCTTTTGTAGGGATGCTGATTATCAACTGAACAATATAACCCATTTTCTTGGTCTCTTGAAAAAAACAGCCTCTCCTTAGCAGTCGTAAACTAAAACAAAAAATTTGCATGAAAGCTCTCTACACATCTGTGGAGTTGTGAGTTTTGGTGAGGCATTACATTTGTTTCAACATTCAACAGTAGAATACTATAAAGACATTTAGATGAAAATTCTTCCCTAAAACAGATATCATTGAAGGAATACAAAATTATTTACCGTAGAAGCTGCAGAAAAGACTGGAGGAAAGGGGATTCCTGTGTCTGACGGGACCTGAGGGAGCTTTCCTGGCCCTGTGTGTAGCAGATCTCTGAGGCTGGAGCCTTCAGCTTTGTTGCTAGATGTCACTGGGCCCAACAAGAGGCTATTAAACAGCTTTGGGGTTAGTGGGGAAACCTTTGTACTGGAGTTGAAGGAATCTAATCCAAAGGGTGAATGGGATTCTTTATTAAGCACTGATCTCAGTGATCCTGATTCTGCAAGATAAATACAAACATTATAGGGAGGGGAGAGAAAAAAATCCCCAAGAGGCAAAGTTAAAATGATCACAAAGTTTTCTGAAATTATTTGCTCTTGCATTAAATAGGGTATTAACAGAATCTTGTGGTAATGGTAAATTGTCACCGTAAGAGTGAATGAGGGTTATGAGTGAATGAGGGTCTCAATGAGAATCAGAGACATTAGATACTTCACATATTTTGCCCTTCATATGCTGCTAAGGTTTTGTATAGCACAATAAATTTGATCCAAAAAGGTCTGACACATGCAAATTTGTCAAACAATTTCTTAATAGATTCAATTAAAGAAACATTTCCCTGACTTTCTGAATTGATGTTCTGATATTAAATATTTCAAATTTTAATGGTAGTAAAAATATTACAGTGACTAAGACCTGCAAAACTTGCGAGTGATTCACCAGCATTTAACATCAACGTGTTAAATAGAAAGTAGTTAAATAAAGCAGTAAGTAGTTAAATAAATAATGAAGTAGTTAAATAAAGCAGTTCCTTCTAGACATATGGACAGGAATAAATCCTGTGTTAGTCATGCTACCTCTGACATCTAGGAAGTGTATTTGCTCCAACTACTGAGTATTAAAGATGCTCTAAGCTTTCATCTAACTCTCCAACTGGACTCTAGTCTCAGTTCCTTAGAAATGCACTCTTTACATAGCACACAAAGAGCTGCACTTCCTTCAACAGTTAATAGGTGACAAAACTGTATGTGAAATTAATTGCTATCATTTTACATCAAGATATCAACTTCTGAGAAAATAAATATACAAACTGGCACAGAAATAAACTGAGTGACAAGACAGTACTGTCTGCAGCTGTATCATCTTTCCAGCTTTACATTTTTCTAAGCCTATAGAACAAAACTGATTCCAAGAGGCAAAGGAAGAAAACTTATCTTTTTCTTTTCTACTTAGGGCTAGACACTCTGACAAAGTATAGCAATCAAACAGTATGCTATCATTTATCTTTTCACTCCAACCCCAGAGAGCATTTCTTCTGCTCACCTTTTGTTTCCTCTTTTGCTTTTTGCGTTGCTAGATCTGCAAGCCAGTGTAAAGCTGATGATGGAGCTGTTTCTGGACAAAGTGGTCTGTTAGTCTTTACTTCCCCAGTGTTACTGGTTGGTAATGTCTCTGTTTTTGCAGATTCTTCTATTCTACTATCAGTTGCTTCAGATTTTGGTACAGTGTCCATTTCTACTTGCCCCACTCCTGCTGTCCCTGCTCCAGTGGAAAAGGCATTCTCATTTCCAGAGACTGATGCACCAGGATTTACAGTTGGAAGCTAAAACAAAAAAAATAAACTGCTAAATGTTGAATAAAGGGAAGAGTTCAACTTGGAAGACATTTTCGATATCCTATGCATTTGGTTTTGTCTGATGTTTTTCCATTTGCTATAAGCACACAGTAAAATTCATTTATGCTTAGGTAGCAGCAGAATACAGGAGCTTCTTATCTATGTGTATTCACCTCTGCACTGTGATGTGAATTCTTGCCATGTTATCTTTTAGTTATCTTTTAACATAAACCAAATCTTTTTGATTTCTTTCCTTTTCTTTGTTTCTGTTTTTTTCATTACAGGAGGATTTTTTTGTGTCAATAGTTACAGAACTGTTCTAGATTCCTTCAGTAACCACAAGAAAATAAAATCACATGTTGCAAGCTACTCATAGTGGTTTGTTTTAAAATACAGCATCAACATGAATGGCTTCCTACCCAATTTCTACGTAAGAGCATTAGCCCAAATAACCACTTGGTAGATAACAGATGCTGCTCATGTCCCCAAAAAATGACCCAGAAAACTTTTGCTAAACTAAAATACTCAGAATACATATGAAGAAAGTAAAACTCCTGTTTCACAATAGATTAACTTAAAAGATCTAATATCTTAATAGATCTTAAACAGGTAAATGTCAAACAAAGTAATCGCAGCTTCAAATTACATACCTGTGATATTCCATTAGTGACAGCTGGTCTCAGTACCGATTTGTTCTGTCTGTTAATACATGGACAATTTGCTTTAATACCCCATTTGCCTCGTGCTGCATGAACCATGTCTCCAATATTGTAAAGCGCTGTAAATAAAGTTAGGTCTTTAATATCACATGCAAAGAAATCTAAAAAAAGGCCTAAACTACATCTTCAAACGGGTGGGTTTTTTTTAGTATTATTGCAAATACTAAAAGGTCACATGCTATATAACAAGACATTGTCCCTGAACAGTAGTGTGACAAATGGTGGTAACGCTACCTTCCGTATGTAACAGAGACTGTCAAACCTGGCAAATCCTACAGATCATCATCTACTTCTACTGTTCGATGTAGGGTCCAACAATACTGCAATGAGGTGACTTTGAACCACCACAAGAAGTTATATAACCCTTGAAGCAATGCTGAAAGGATCTGGAGCACAGGTGCTCATCTTCTGGTACACAGACAGATGTAATGAATTGACCAGGTGAATACCTGGCTGCGTGGCTGGTGCCATACACAACAGTTTTGCCTTCTGTGACCATGAATCTACATCTGAGAAGTCAGGACTCTTGGGAGCAGATGGGATTCACCTGGCCAAGCAGAGCAAGAGAGCCTCTGCCAACAAGTTGACCAGAATTGTATGGACAATTTTAAAATTACATTTAGTGGGGAAAGGAAATGCAGATTTGAGCAATAGACAAGAGCCAGGGACTACTGATGCAGGAAGCAGCAGGAACAACCTGTGAAATAACTCAAAGGAATTTGGGCATGCTCCTGTAAAGACAGGTAGGGTTGATAGCACAGCTGGAGGGCGTCTTCATACTAATGTATGCAGCCTAGGTGATGAGCAGGGTTGTATTACGGAATAAAGACTTTACAACTAAAATTGTAAAGTGGTATGCTTTATTCCAGCTGGAGAGACGCATGGAGGATTCTCCACCATACACGCATACCTGGTTGAGACAGGTTACAGGCTTAAATATACATTGATACCATAAGCCCACACCTCCCTGCCCACCCATTCTCCTTCTTGCACTTCATATTATAATTAGTCTTTGGGGGTGCCATGCCTCCTGGTGGTTGCGGGCAGAGGTCTTTGTGATGAAGATGTCTTCCTCAGTGTTCGATGGTTGACTCCCATCTCTGGGCAGGCACAGTGGATGTTTGGCTTTCTCCGAGGTCAGTTTGCCCCGGCCAAAACCAGGAGCCTGGATCTTGCTGTCTTCTTAAACCACAAGTTCTGCTTTATCAGGTTTTCACAATACCTAAGTGTTTCTTTACTGGTTTTTCACAACATACATCTTATCTTTATGTCCTTTACCTAGCAACTTAATTCCTATGTGTTCTGTTACAAGTTGGTTCTACTTTTAAAATAAGCTATATTTCTGTTTCCCTCCACCTGCTTAATCACTTTATAGGCTTCTAGAATTCTGAATTTTCATAAGCATGTATGCTTCCCATATCCTCCTCTCAGGAGGAGCCAGAGTCATTGTGCAACTAGAAAATGACAATCTAATCTTTCTCACTAAAATGTGACAGAATGAATTGTAGAACTGGTGCACTGTGGGGAGGTGCTCTCAACATAAAACAACATATTGACCACACAAAGCTTTGAAAAACAGTGATGAACAGGTCGAGAACTTATGGGTAAAAATGAGGGACCAAGGCAAAAAAGGAAACCTCACTGCTGGGTTTTACTCCAGTCCACCCACCCAAAGGGAGCCTGTTGACAAAATGTTCTTACTTCAACTACAGGAAGCATCATGCTCACATGATGATTAGGGAAATTCAGTCAGCTTGACATCTGCTGGAAAGGCAACATAGCAAGCTGCAAGCAGTCAAGGACAATTCTGGAATGCTTTGAGGATAATTTAATCCATGATATAGAGAGACTGACCACAACAGAAGCATTATCAGACCTGTCATATACCAACATAAAAGAACTAATCAGATACATCAAGACTGGTGGCACCCTGGGCTGCAGTGATCAGGCCCTGGTGGAATTTACAACCTTGAGGGACATGGGCCCTCAAGATCTAGAGTAGTCAGGATACTGAATTTTAGGAGAGCAGAATTTCACTTGCTTAAGGAATTAGTGTACGGGACACTCTGGGAATCTGCCCTCAGGGACAAAGGAACAGATCAGAGCTTGCAGCTCTTTAAGGACATTTTTCTTGCAGTGTGAGCACTCTCAATTCCCCCATGTAAAAAAATCAAATAAGGAAGGCAGAGGAAGAACATGGGTCAAGAAGGACCTCCTGATCAAACTAAAATCTAAGAATGAAATGCAGAGGCAGTAGAACCAGGGACACATAATACTGGATGCTGCCCAGATGTGCAGAGATGCCATCAGAAAACCTAAGGCACAGATGAAAATGCATATTACAAGGGATGCAGAGAGTAATAAGGGTTTCAACAGTTCCCCTGGCCAGAAAAGGAAGATTAAAGAAAATGTATACAACACACACCATCTGCACTACATAAAATCTCTGAGCAAGTGACAGCTGACACAGAGGAAGCTGATGTACTCCACATTTTTCTTTTTCCCATCAGTTTTCAGTTGTATTCCGTCTTCCCACCTCCCTCAAGTCCCTGAACCTCAAAGCAGAAGCTGGGGGAATAATGTTCCTCCTCTTGTTGAAGAACAATAGAGAATCTCAAGTAGGATGAGGACCATGAGGATCACTGAGAACTTCCTGCTCCTCAGAGGACCACCTAACACTAAACCACATGACTAAGAGCATCATCCAGATACTCCTTGAACCTGACAGGCTTGGTGCACTGACTACTTCCCTGGAAAGCGTGCTCCAGTCCCCAACCTTCACCCTTCTCTCAGTGAAGCAGTCTGAACCTCCCCTGATGCAGCTTCATTCCATTTCCTTGTGTCCTACCTACTCCTGGTCACCAGAGAGAGGAGATCAGCACCTCCTCCTCTGCTGACCCCCTTGAGGAAGCTGTAGATTGTGATGGGGTCACCCCTCAGCCTTCTCATCTCCAATGCATCCCAGGGTCATGAGGGATTGGGCTGATGTAGTTGCCAAGTCACTCTCCATCATACTTGGAGAGACCTGGCAGTCCGATGAAGTTCCCGGGGCCTGGGGACAGGGGAAACATTAACCCTATTTTTAAAATGGGTCAAAACAAGGACCCCGAGAATTACTGATCTGTCAGCCTCACCACAGTATCCAGGCAAGATCATGTAGCAGATTCTCCTGGAAGACATGTCAAAACACATGGAAGTCAGAGTAGACTGGAGACAGCCAGCACAGCTTCACCAAGGGCAAATCACACTTGACTAATGTAGTGGCTTTCTTCAGTGGAGTGACTGCATCATTAAACAACAGAAGATGAACAGTTGTAATCTACCTACACTTCTGTAAGACCCTCAGTATAGTACCCCACAACATTCTTTTCACTAAATTGGAGATGTACAATTTAATGAATGGACTATTCAGTGGGTAAGGAAGTGGCTGGATGATCACATTCAAAAGAGTTACAGTCAAAGTCTGTGCCCAATGGGGAACAGGCATCCCTCAAAGGTCCTTACTAGGACCAATACTGTTTTGTGTTTTCATCAATGACATTGACAGAGGGATTGAGCACGACCTCAACAAACTTATGGAGGACACCAAGCTGAGCTGTGGAGTTGATTCTAGAGGGAAGACACTGACACCCAGCATGACCTTGACAAGCCTAAGGACTGGGCCCACCCAAGCCTCATTAAATGCAGCAAGTCCAAGTGCAAGGTGCCACACCTGGTTTGGGACAACTCCCAGTACCAGTACAGAGTGGGGGAGTGAATGGATTGAGAGCAGGCCTGCAGGAAAGGACTTGGATACATGGAAGATATAGATGGAAAACTAGACATGAGACAGTAAAATACACTTGCAGCCCAGAAAGCCATCCTGCAGTCTGGGCTACATAAAAAGAAGAAGCATGGCCAGCAGGCTGAGAGGTGATTCTTCCCCTCTACCCCACCCCACCTCCGCACCCAGAGTTCAGCATTCAACTCTGGGGTGCCCAGTACATGACAGACATGGACCTGTTCAAGCAGGTTCAGATGAGGCCATGAAAATTAGGAGAGGGCTGCAACTCCTCTCCTATGAAGAAAGGCTGACACCATTGATGCAGTTTGGCCTGGAGAAGAGAAGGCTCTGTGGAGACCTTGCTGTGGCTTTTCAATACATCAGGGGGGATGATAAGCACAGAGAGAGACTTTTTACCAGGGCCTCTAGGGACAGGATATGGAGCAATGGTTTTAAACTGAAAGACAGTGTGTTTAGATTGAATATTAGGAAAAAATCACTCCCTGTGAGGGTGGTGAGGCACTGGCACAGATTGTCCAGAGAAGCTGTGCTTGCCCCATTCCTTCAAGTGTTCAAGGCCAGGTTGAATGGGGTTTGTAGCAACCTGGTCTAGTGGAAGGTGGTCCCCGCCTATGGCATGGGGGTTGCACTAGTTGATCTTTAAATGTCCCTACAAACCCAAACCATGCTATGATTCTATGAAATTTAGGACCAGTTATATAAACAGCCAAGAAAATGGTCACCATGGACCATTTAGTTTCCTTCCCCATCACCAGAGAAGAAAAAAAATCCAAACCATCTCCAAAAAACTCTTCCTTGCTAGTAAAACAAATTTACTTAAAATAAAACTTAAAAACAGCTGAGCACAATTCACAGCTAATGCTAGAAGGATGTGCACTTCAAATCTACAGCTTGGTCTCACTTGGGCTACCTTCCCTTCAACCCTTCTGCTGTAGCAAGTGGAAGTGTCCTCTAAATTCATGGTAGGAAAGGTATCAGCTACATCACCTATGTTTGTATTTTTTCCACTTACTTGCTCAAAACTAACACAAAATTTTCTATTTTTCCTTTCATGTTTTAAGGATTACCTGTACCAGGGATGATCTGTGTTGGCATGAGATTCTCTGGTTCATGAGACTGACCCTTTGCACACTTCAGCCATGAGAAAACTTCTTCATCACCAATCTCCTCTGTCTCTGGCATAAAGAAAAGAAAAATATTTTGTATTAGAACTTTACAATACAGAATATTTGTGCATTAATACTGTTTATTTAGATTCTTTAAAGTGAGGGAAATGAACCTGGTGATCTCAGAAATAAAATATAAATACAGACCATTAGTACTGGGTATACAGCAACTTCTGCCTCTTCAGACTATATATAGCTACCACAGTAATTTTCCTTCAGTCATCTCTAGCAGCTTATTTTCAATCACCTAAAAATCTTGGCTTCTAACCTCAATTTTTAAAATTCTTTCATTACTTGATACTTTTTGTTTTTTGTTACTTTTGATACTTTTGTTCTCATTATGCTTTTCTAAGTTATCATAATGAATAGACAGCAATATTCAAATTTATTAATATCCAGTATTTTATACATCTGCTCCACCTAATAATGTAACTGTCACTAATTAACTATACTGAGATTGCCATTTGTTTGCATCCATGCCACAAATGTGGTCTCAATACAGTAAAGTACACAAAAAAGCTCAGCCAGGTATCTACTTTTTCATGCTTCTATTTCTTAAAATTGAAATTACTGAACTCCTTCCTGAATTCTGGTGTGTCACAGAACAAAAAAAAAACAAAACAAAAAAACCCAAAAAACCCCAAAAAAACCCCAAAACAAAACAAACAAAACACCACCTTCCAATCTAACTCTTTGTTAAAGGCAACAGTTTTCTGCAGTGTCTGCTTACAACACCTCTGAGCTGTTAAGATACTTGATTTTTGTTCTATACTTTCTGAGGAAAAGAATTACACAATCAACTGTCTCAGTAGACACTCTATGCTTGCTGATGCAAGACAAGCTCCATGCAGCCTTCCAAGCTGATACTCAGTAACTCTCCCACAAAACCTTCTGCAACTTTCCAGAAACTATTCCCTGACTATAGTCAGTTCAAAGATTACACTGGATGAAAAATGTCCAGTACTCACCACTATGTGGACGGTTCTTCCTCAGCCGGTAACAGTCCAGACAGACTCCAAAACCACACTTCCGACAAACCCAATGAATATTGAAGAGTGTTGTCTCACATACATCACACATCTCCCTCACACCACGTACTGCTCGCTTCCATGCCACCTTCTCTATAGAGAGAAGGCACACTACGAATTATTGCTTTGACATTTTGCATTTCTCTCACCTAATTTGAGAATATCTCAGCAGCACTGAAAAATTAACAGCAACATGACCTGAAGGCAGAGTATAGAAACACATGCTTTTCACATTCATAGCCCCATTCTTTGAATTGCTAGTCCAGTGACACTATTAAAATTCCCATTTCTAAGAATTGGTAAGGTCAGGTATCAAAATGCACACTACAAGGAAATGCAGCACCTTACAGTGTTCTGTAATAACTGAATTTATTGGAGCACTAATGGAACTTACAGCAAAATTACAAATCTTCTGCTAGTTTTATGAACAAGTGACATCAATATATAAAACCATAAAGAATGTGTATTTAGTTTCACTAATCAGATCTCTGCCAACTATTCAGATTCTAAACCAACATATTTGCCAAAGAAGGTGCTCTCGTGGCCCAAGTACTAAGGAAACTAGAGAAACTAAAGGGAAAAAAGGAGATAGCCAGTTATCCATGTGATAAGCTAAACTGGCTACCTTTTTGTTTTGTTTTTTCCCCTAAACCCTTCCCCCCCCGAAGTGGAAAGATGGAAACTAGTTGCTCAGTGAAGTCCTTGAGGGCTGAATTAAGTACTGCTCCCTCCCTAAAAAACCCTGAGCTTTTACATGATGTCCCCAGAGCATAAAAGGATTGGAATCACCCAGAAAATCTGTTTCTGTCAGTGTGGTAGGTGCTCTGGCTTATTTCTATTTTCTTAGGAGTATGAGCCAGCTGATTTCTGTATTTAGTTATTGAAAAAATAATTTAATGTCTGGGAAAGTTACCATTAGCTTCCTTGGTGGTAATGGTGCACTGATCCAAAAGAAAGTCTCAAATGCTGGTCCCTCAGTTACACCCCCAAGAGGTGAATATAGCTTCTCTTCGGAAGAGCATTTCAACAAGAAATTACATGACATTTTCAATTCTATTCTGCTGTATTGTACATGCATTATACAGAAAGGGTGGGAAAAAAACCATGACAAAAGCCCAACTTACGATGTGGCTCTACCATCATCATTGCCTCCTTCTCTGACATAACAAGCTGGCAAAACTGGTCCCCAACATTGGCCAGGATATATTTAGAAGTTTCCAGATCAATCCCCTCTGCAGGGGCAGTAGAAGGAATCCATAGGCTCATGGCATCAGGGTCACTTTGTTGTGGGTTCAAGAAACCTTCTACTCGTAGTATACCTTTCCGGGTAAATACCAGCCTGCAGCAAATAGGATGGATTAATTGGGAAACTGCTCAACTGCCTTTAATTGACTTATAATGACATCTGTATCAGAACATAAACCCAGAAAGGGTGAGAAAAAGACTTCGGCTAGAGTGCTATATTCTACAGACAGTACATTTATTATGCAAATCCCAGTAACACAGAGAATAAGGCATACAAAGCTGTGGCTGTAACACCCATTAGAATGAGTGCCTAGGTCCTAGTAAACATTGGCAGGAAATTCCACCTAAAAGAAATTGCTACATCTTGCTAAATCCCATGTCTCTATCTTATTAATAGAAAGAAATGACAAAATTCAATTTGACCTGCTGCATGATGCTGCTTGCAAAACTCTGAATGGCTGTCATTCTCAATTTTAACTCATGAGAAAGTTTTTCCCAACTCTTAAGAAAACAGTATTTCAGTTTTGGCGAGGGCTGCCAGCACTTGGCAAATCTTCTAACAGCTCACATTATGGTATATGCAAAAATCCTTGTCGCACTGGTCTCCACATAGATGAATCACTACTGTTTTACCAGTAGCTGTTGACCCTCCTAATCCTTGTGTGGTAAAGGGTGTAAAAACGTATGACAGAACCCTAAACATCTCCTGTCAATATCAAAGGTAATTTCAATTTTAAGCATAAACCGTCTTATCTTTAACCTCAAGCCAGATTAATTTTTAACAAGATTAGGGAAAGAAGCAGCATGCTTTCCGGATGGGTGACCATACTAAAAATACACTTCATCCTTTACATGCCAAAAAGTCAGCTAACTACTTTTGGAAAGAGATTCATAGCACTTGCTAACTTGCAGTTAAGGAAGACAAAGAGAAACACAATAGGTCGAAGAAGTGTAAGACATGTACACAACACAGAGGGAACATGTAGTGTTCCACTCATAAAAATTAGTCCTGTACTCAACAGAATATGGTCAAGCATTAGCCTCATGCTGGCAGTGTTTAGTTACTTGTTGAGTGAATTAAAATTTTACCTTTGTTCTGAATACCTGACAAAGGAGGTAGAATTACTGCATACAAATCGCTACCCAAAAGTAAAATTCTACCCAGTAAAGCAAATCTAATTTCCTGAGGCTGTACCTGGAGGCTCTCTTAGTATCCTACAGCTTTCTCTTTGAAAAGCAGCTCTTTCTGGCACAGTGAGGGAATTCCTATGAGGTAATGCAGGGAAATGCAAGACACTCAAAATCTTCATTATTGTACCCAAGCATATTTAATAAGTAAAACAAAATTACTCTGTGCTTGGACATGGCCCAAGCTCTGCACATAAACTACATATAAAGAAAGGAAGAATTTAAGCACCTCCGGAAATGGAAGAAGCGACAGGCCACAGTTGAGTCATCCTGCTCTTGCTCCTTAAATTTGCGGTACCGCTCCAGACGGCACTCCCGACACTTGTGCAGATGTGGAGCTACATTGATGCAAGAGCCATCCTGGAGAAAAGGCTCACCTGACTGCTTCAGCTTCCTCACCTTACTCATATCTTTCAGCACAGACTGGCCAACTGGGTGAGGCAAAGTAGAAGTAAAGATCTATTAGTTAACTGCAACAGCAAAAGGATACTGGCTCCAATAATCATCTTTTCAAAGACTGGTATGTTTCTCACCCATGTAAAACCAGTAAGACTGATCAAGCCTGCAGCATACCACACTTCTGTCCTGACACACATGCTTAAACATTTATCAAAGTGAACACCAAACTCACATACAAACATTAAGCTTCAGTCTTGTAAGCATCCTGTGTGCTGCCTACTGAGCACGAATGAGGTTTAAAACTGTGATTAGTTTACACAGTTCATTACACACAAGATAACCCAGTATCCCACCTCCTTGTGCTTCCAAAACATCATCTGCATTCAAGTCATCACCTTTTAAGGGAGCTGTGCGGGGCCGGCCCTTTGGGCCTTGCTTCCCCTTTCCTTTACCCAGCAGCAATTCTGCATTGCGCTCCGCATTGGGGCCTAGCTTCACCATCAAGTGGTCTGGGATACCCTTCATACAAGCCTTAGCTTGCAACTGGTCTTCAGAGTCACTCAAATCTGACAGATCACTATTTGTACTGGAGTCGGAGTCCTGTTTGGACGTTAAACTCCGCTCATCTAGTGAAAACCTTTTCACAGCTTCAAAAGGGGCTTTCTTCTCCTGTGGAAACTCTGCCTGTGAAGAGAAAAGGGTAGGTGGATGTCTGCCAAAGACATTAGAAAACGTTTTCAGAAGAGGATTGTCCTGCTGCCCAGGCCCAACAGCTGGTTTTTCTTCTGTTGGGCTGGAGGAAAGTGTAGGCATCTCAATAGGCTGTGTCAGGCTGCTGCTTGGTGAGCTGGAACGGCCATTCCCTACAGTGGAAGGGCTTTGAACACCAGCAGCAGTTGTTGAACCAGAAACACTGGAGATCATCTTTGAGGAGTCAGTTGTTATAAACAAGGTTTTCTTCTTAGTTAAAGAGTCTGTAGAGGTGAGTGATTCCGGCCAGCCAGAAGTGACCTTATGACCCACAGGTGTTGAGGGAGCACAAACTCCTGTCTGAGATGAAGATGCAAAGCCACTGAAAGGACTAAGTTCTGCTTTCTCAGCAAATGCCAGGAAAGGGTTTGAGGGTTCCTCTCGTGATAGCTTTGGGGGCTGTAAAAATAGGTTTTCATGACTATCAGGGGGACGAGTATTCAGCAGACTTCGTGAAAAGGCTGGAGTAAGGGTAGGCATAGATTCCACAGGCAACTTCCGCTCTACAGAACTACCAGACTGGGCTCCTGGCTTACTGTCCACTGAAAGAATTTTACCTTTACAAGTCCCAGGACCCACACTCTCTGTACACTGCTTGAATGAGTCCCGACTAGAGACATCTTCAGTCAAACTCTCTGAAATGACCGTGAAATAGTTACTGGAAGGAAGATTTTGGGACATGCACTGAAAAAACAAGTTCTTGGATGAATCCGAATCTTTCTGAGCCTCTTGTCCAGTACCAGAGCCAAAAGAAAATCCAGAAGGTTTGCTTTCTGGAGTCATCACTCCATTTGATTGGCTCCTTCCAGCCCCAAATACCAAGGAGGACTGGGAAGCACTTGGGAGTGAAACTCCAAATCCAGAAGCCAAAAGTGAACTTCGGGAATTCTGAAACAAAATTAATAAGCATTAGTCTATTCTAAGATTGTTATTTGATTCAAGAATACTTTAGATCATCTCACTGTACCATTAGTATTCTGGTTACCCTTCAGGAATAGAAATTTCCAGCAGACTTACTCACAATGAAGAAACTTCTTTAAAGATTCCTACCCACAAGCTACTGAAATTGAAGACATGCAGAGAAAACTGATACTTAATGTCTTATCACACTTTAGAACAAAGGTGAGACATCAGACAGGTGAATTAATTCATAGAAAAGTTAGTAAAACTGCTGATCATTTGAATTCAAATCAATGAAAAGGAACCTCAATTGTAACTGCTTTTAAATACCCCCCAGTCTTTCACCCTCCCCCAAGAGCATTCTGATAAGCTTCACCTACTTAAGTAGTACCCCTGAAATAAGTAACTTCATTTGAAATTAATTAAACAAAGCAAGCCCCCTAGCAGTTAGCAGACAAACTATTCCTGGTCCCTGCAAGCTACATCTGCTGACAGGTAGATGCCTAAGATGTGGAGCCTTCCAGGGAATAACTGTAGAGGTTAAGCACAAAAGGCTTAACTTTTATGACCATTAAATACATGAAGGTTTTGTGAATGGCAGATTTCTACTAGAAATAACTGTGATATGGAATATTCACTTGCTCTCTTCTCAACTGGTATTTGTTCAGGTTTTCCAGTCCTGACAGTCCTACTGTAAACGATTATATACTGTGACTTAATTCTTCATAGAATCATTTAGATCAGCTCTTCTCCTTCTCTTTAAGTTTCCACTTAGAAATCTGCTCATCATTAACACAATTTTAATTCAAGGTCATGTTGAATACAAACACAGACTCTGTGCAACACATCCTAGTCACTAGGTCACTAGTGTACCTGCACACCTACTCTACTGCATACTAATGTTTAGCTTGTTCCTCATTACCAATGTCCAGCTGTAATAACTTTCATAACCTATTAAAAGTTATTCTGGATATTAGAAGTTCTGACATTTCTTTTTAGAGATTAAAAAAAAAAAAAATTAGAAAACTGAGTTCTAATAGTTTTTAAAAGAATATGGATTTGAATGGAAACCCAGGTTGTGAAGTCATCTCAAGGACCAACTCACACTATGATATAGTAGACAGTCTGAAACAGTAACATATGTGAACTATCTACAACACTCTTACTGATTTATGTCAGATTCCCTCCCTCAAAAAAAAAAAAGTTTAAAATGGACTAGTGGTCTGCCTGCCAACTCTGAAGCCAAATTATTAATGTTTTAAAAAAATTATGTGGGGTTGGAGAGGGGGAAAGATGGAGAGATGATACCAAAATTTCTCAGTACAATTATACAATCTGTAGTTGCTCCAAATTCTGAATTTATTTCTATTTTTGGGGGTGGGGGATAGAAGAGTTCATATTATATTATATCAAGTTCATCATGCAACACTCCTGTTTCCAACAATTCTATTTCTTCTTTACACCTTAACATAGGAATCTTTATCCCAAGGTAAACATCTAACCTTCCCATCCATTCCATTATCGAATACAAGACAGGGATGATAACAATGCCTTTAACTTCCTGGCAATCACACTGGACTTTCTTAATGAATCACCCATTTTCTTCACTTTTTTTTTACAGTAGACAGCGAGATTCTTAATTTTTGTGGTACTTACTGAAGTGGGTTTCATTTTTGTTTTGTTTTTACAAACCCTCGTTTGATTTATTTAAGAAGTCTCCTATTTTGTTTTTAACAGGGTTTCCCTTCTATTTTTTCACTCTTTTCCTTGTAAACAAAGACATAACTAAACGGTCTTCAAGACTGAGCTCTCATCTGAAATATTTTAATTATTTCTTTGATTTTAGTCCTAGATAGTATACAATACAACTGGCTCATTTTTCTATTATATAGATAACACAGGTCTAATACGCAAGACAGGCATCTGTTAGAGGTCCTCTAAATGTAGGCTCATTGTTTTTCTGGTTTTGAGGCTTTTTTTTTAAGTAACTTGAATGTTCAACTCAGTGTGCATTTTCATGCAGATTTGTTTATATAAAGGCAAGAGATTTTAAGTAGGTTATCTTTTGTAGGACACAACAAAATTAATTAAGTGCAGTGCTTAGTGTTATTTTAAAGCTTCATTTCTCAGATTAAGGCTGAATAAGCTAAGAGTGCTACACAGTTATCTCTTATTACTCCTTCACCAATTATCTTAATTTTCTTCTGAGTCATTTCTTAGAGGGTTTTCTTCAGGAGACAGAATCATGAGAGAAAAAGTACTTTTTTCAATTCCATGGGCACACATTTTAACAGGAGTATGTTGCAGAATTATCAGTTGCAAACATGTAAATCTTCCTAGAACACATTGGATCATGAGCTACTCACCTCTCCCTGGGCTTGTGATCGGCCTGTTTTTGGTTTCTCCTGTCCAGTAACAGCTGGCAAACTGGTATCAGAGATTCTCACAGTTGTCGGTGTCAAAGCAGTTGTAGTAACTGCAGTTGCAGAAGTCACTGTGCCTTGGCCAACCTGTTCCAGTGATTTTCCTGCCTCTTTACATCCAGATCCAACTAGTAATGGTTGTCCAGCCACAGAAGAAAATGGAGTGAAGGGCAATGGTGTGTCACCACCAACTGGCTCATCTTGGACTACTAGTGTTCTGCCATTCTCTTTGGTGTAAGTAGCAAAACGAATATTGCGATTAATCTGAGGAATAAATGAAGGCAACTGCTTGGCCCTTGGATCCAGTCCTGTTTCACTACTGGAGACTCCTTTCCAGGGACCTCTGCTTGCCTCACCTCCATCACTACCATTGCTATCTGCCTCACCCCTCTCCTTCAGCTTCTTTGTTGCAGGATCACAACCAGGATCTGATACATTTTTCCTCCTCCTTCCATCCTTTCCCTCCAGGCTTTCTTTCTTCTTTTTCCCTTTAGATGATGATTTAGCCACTTTTAGGCCCCCTCCCTATAATAGAAAAAGCCATGCAATCACTAAACAGAACAATCCAGATACTCACACAAAAAACTTTTTTCTGTTAGAACTGAATATATTATACTGCTCTGATGTTTAGGAACACTTCATCACAAATTCAGACATCTAAAGAGAGACGTTATGTGAGCACAGAACTCAAGCATTAAGCGCAGTCTTGTCTTTTTTGTACTAGAATAAGTTCTGCACAAGAAATTTTTTAGCTGAGCTACCTTGCTGTAGCATGAACCACTTCCTCGCAAATTTTGAGAAATATGCAATACTCCAACAAAGCTCTTCATAACATATGAATACCATGTGCACACTAATTTTTGCTCCAAGTATAAAACCCCATGATTCTTTTGAAGGGCATGCTTTCTGTCCACGACACAAAGCCTACAATATTTAACTATGGAAGACAGCTTGCCCTTTAGCCTAGGGTAAAACATTCAGGTTCAAAAGTTATCATGGAACATCTCAATTGAAGCAGTGAAATGCCACAAACATACAAGCCTGCTCACAAGGCAGAGCAGCCAGATGGCAATTTTTAGAAATGCCTTAAAAGGTCTGTGAAGCAGCACAGAATCATCCTGTAAGAAAAAGGCAGAAACACTACACCTTAAAATGGAGTACAACCACCATGGTTATTATACCACTAATGCTCCCCCCTCCAAGATCTATGGTAAGCTTAGTAAACAGGCCTGAACAAAAAGAGATTGCTTAGAGAAAGCTATGACCATCAAAATAGTAAACAAAATCTTCCTGTTCCAACTTTAAGTGGAAAAACATTGAATTTCTCCGAAGTCCACAGTCAACACTGCATCAATTTTTAGTCCGTTACAGATTTTGCCTATTTCACATCAAAAATTTTATGAAGTTTCACACTGTATATACAAGACCTGAATCAACTGCTGTAATACCTCGCTTGAAGAAGTGTTATCCATCACCACATGAATCAGTCGAGGATCCACCGACTTTATTTCACCACTCTAATTTTTATACAGATTGATAATGAGGAAGTAGGAGAAAGAAAAGCTGAGGTTAATTTTTAATTCAAAGTATATAGTATCAACATAAGAGACCTAAACACACAGTTACTATGCAGGCCCTCTCCCATCTACTTATATGCTCCCATTTCTTATTGTCTCACTTCCTTAGTAATACTACAGTCTTCCAGTTTTCCTTCTATTCTTTTCTCCTTCTCTATTTCAAAAACTTTCAGATTTTATTCCTACCATGTTTTCCCTTGTGTATTTATTCTATTGAGCATTTCTGAAGGTATTCAGTGCATTAAACGCAGCTCTTTAATTTAACATTGTTACATGCATGTTCACTCTGCTACACATAGAAAGAACTACTGGAAGAAGAACATCAGTTTAGCCTAAGTATCCTCATTAGTTTCTCCCCAAAAGGAGCAACTCACAACCAATCTCTGTAACTGTTCTTGGAGGTTACTTTTTATTTCACAGTAAGTACACAAGAAACTTTGTGCTTCCTAGCACGTATCTGCTGAATGCACCTAACCCCACAATTTCTATGTCTCCCCAAAGTATTATGCTGATTTGCCATATATAGTATACTTTTTTCCCTGTGCGCCAGCAATAGCAGTAGTCAGAGCGCAGGATTACTGCTTATTCAGTGCATTCAATTTACACACAAGAGGCTACAGAGGCAGTGGGCATGAGACACAGGATGGGACCTGAAAACCAAGACGAGTGCTGCTACTACACAGCACCATGGACCCATTCCTAGTTGTTCCTGAAAAAAGAGCAAGCCACTGGCAAGACTGAACTACCTGTCAGACCACACAGAAACACGTAATAAAAACCAGTAACTCCAGCAGTGCAGATTCTCTGTGCTGTACACAGGTTTACTGATAGGAACAGGGCAAAAGTAAATAGCCTGAACTAAAATACATAAATCAAGTTTATTTATACTAAGACTTCTTCTGCTTTGCTACAATTGTTTCAAACCACTTGTACAGTCTGTCAGATGGAAAACAAGAGAAGGCATAGGAAGACCATAATATAAGAGATCCAGAAGGTAGCTTTCTATGCAGCAGCACACTTCTGCCTCTGGAGAGTCACTTTCAGTATTTTTTCTTACAGCACTCATTTCCAGTGAAACTTTTACAGCTTTTTTTTTTTTTTTTTTTTTTTTTTTTTTTAACAGAAGTAGTCTGTGTGACATCATTTAAAAATACTGTGAATTGCAACACAAATAATTACTCATCTTTTAAAGCAAAAAACAATCCAAAATAACAAGTTTTGGCAAAGCTGTCATTCTCCTCATATAGATAGTGAGGAATGGTATTTCAGGAACACCAAAGCAGTGCTTCATATTTTTACCTTAGTCACAGACACCTCCATAAGACGAGTTATTGGGTCTTGGTGACTCACAACACCACAGAGCCAGCTATTTTCATCCTCTGGTTGATAAACTTTAACTCTTTGGCCTTGGACACTGTAAGGACCTGGAAAAGAAGGACTTTGAGTACATTTTCCAAACAAGCTTTGTGTCATACTAGTTAAGAGTCATACAATAAAATGGTTCTGTGCACTTAATTAGGGCTTGAAGTGTCATCTTCCAGATGGAAAAAAATTAAAACACCAGAGCTTCTGCTGCAAATCCTGTGTAACCAGGCATCTTATCCAAAAAAGTCAATAGGCCCTCAATGCTGTAACTCAAAGCTATTGTGAAGACAAAATAAATACAACTTATACATAAAAAACCTCAAATATGAGAGACCAAAATTAACTCACTCCTTTGACAAAATCAAGCTACATGTGGGCTCCTTGCTAACTAAATTATTTTGCTTTCTAACCTAGAGGTTAGTAATTATGCAGAATCGATCCAGTGAACAGAACCAGTATTCTTAGTCCAGATGTGTCAAATCCCAGAAGAAATGCCATGCATTTCAGAGTAGAAACATGTATTTGGTTATCCAACATCTCCAAACCAACCAGCCTTAGTTCTTTCACACAGGTAACAGATCATCTACAGAAAGGCTTCCTCTCATGCTGCCCTTGCTCTCCACATCAGCATGCTGAGCTTTCCTCCTAACTCCTGACAAAATTAACCATTGCTAATCCTGGATCATCAAAATCCACATGATCCAACAACCTGTATGTGACACAGCCAGAATCTGGCACTTTAGAAGAAGGCTTCAAACTGGACAATTCTTAAGTTACTTGCTCATGTAAGAAATATTGTTCTCAGAATTTCTATGAATACACCAAAAGGCACCAAATTCCCATTAAGAATTACATCATCCTTCAAATGTAAGACAGAGGTCTGTCTCTAGGGTGACTCCCTGGCACATGAACTCTAGATAGAAATTATTTTAGCACTTGATCGAGATGACCCAAATCTGACAACAAAAGCCACAATCAGGCTTAGCCCTAATACACAATCCAGACAACAGATATTAACTCTATGCTGACCAGCCACATCCACACATATATTCAGATGAAACAATTGATGTATTAATTATCAAAATCTCAAAATTTGAATTGCCATTACAAGGAAAGTTTCTGAGGATCAGCAACTACAAAGGAACTTCACTTCTAAATTTCTACAGTTACAGAACAGAACCACAGAAAAGGATCAACACTTTAAAAACACAAAACTGAAACTTAAAATAGGGAAGTTGTAAATACATGGATATTGCCCTACTTTAACTACACCTTAAGTGACCATTCCCAGTGGGTATTTCTGGTTGTATCTCAGCAACTGCTTACCTGTATCTGTGATAAAATAATGTTACTTTGTAAAGAAGTTGCAAAACACAGAAAATAAAGAAAAATTTGACCATCCAAATGAAACAGTAACAGATAATATTACTATCCACCTTCACAAATTCCAACACAGTCTTACAGCTGTTGAACAACAAAGTAGCTCTGAGACAAAAAAACACACTCCTCACCTCTACTAAATATCTCCTGAAGCTTCTGGTCACTGATCAGTGCATTGACAGATTCTCTTAGTGAAGGCTGCTCCTGCAGAATCTGATTTTGACTCTCTGTTCCCATCTGCCAAAAACAAACAGTTTTAACGAAGTATAGTCTTCTGGGTAATAGAAACATTAGTTTTTTACAAGTCTTCTTGGACTGCAGACAGACTGACAAACAAGGAAAAAAAAGTAAAATTAAGAAAAATATTACTGCACATGCCAGGACGTAAAAGAATTAACTATGCAAAAGCTGTTGCAAAACTTCCACTGTAATTATCAACTACACAATGACCACTAGCTCTCCAATTGAACAATGAATATCAGTACTTTTCACATGCAAATGAATGTCACTGTAAGGACCTGGAAATGCAGGGAAACAAACACAAATATGTGACAGGGCAGGGAAGGGAGAAAGATAGGTATGTTGGTGGAACAGTAAAAAAAACACAAAACTAATCTGACAAGCACAGCACAAGGCTAAATTTACATTTTAACTGAACACAGTTCAAATACCTGAAATAAACGTAATCCACTGGCATCAGACAGGAAACGTAAATGTCTGTCCAGAAGAAACTCCACTGGGACTACAGAGCCTAACCCCAGTTTATCTACTAGAGGAGTGAAGGTCTGTGATGAACAACAAAAAAAAGAAGTTACCAAAATGACTGAGCACACATACACGCCAACAACAGTCAATTTCACATGCTATTTAGATTTTTAAAAATTAAAAATTTTAATTTCTCAACTTATACCACCAGTTTTTGACTTTAATGAAAAATATTAGTCATTATGTCTAAACCAATAGTTCTTGCATTACAAGCAGGAATTACAGACAACTGGATTCACTTTTTCATTGGATCTTAAAGCAGAAATGAAAACAACTGTGGTGGTATTTGGTTTTTCATAGGTAAGCACCTTCTGATGCTCAGGTAAAAAAAAAAAAGCTCTGATTAATAGTTCAAACTGTTGAACATATTTCAGATATAGCCTCATGAAAGGACTGGTTTTTTTCTCCTACAGAAGTTAGCTGTAAGGAATTTATAAGCTTATTATTAAATGAGAGCATTTTTGGCTAGTGTTTTGTAAAAAAATCAAAGTTCATAGCAAGTGGACTATTGATGTTAAAACTGCAAAGCAAATCACTAAAAATACCTAGTGAATTCAGGAATCCTGTAATAGGAGAACCAGACAATCTTATAACAGAACTTGCTGATGGAAGAGAAAGTTGCCAAACAGAGTCCTTGAGTTATTTGTCTCATGCTCACACTTAAACACAACTATTCATGACATTTTTCCCTTAAGAGCTCTCATCAAGTTTGTTTACACTCCATTCTCCCCTACACAACAGTATAAACATAAAAAAATTATTTTTTCAGTTTATGCAAAACTATCTCCTGAAAGCAAACAGGACTACAAAAAAGAGACAATGGAGAATGAAAACATATTCGTAAGTGATATATCTTAAACAAAAAAACAAACAAACAAACAAAAAAAACCCAGCAAAACCCACCATCCCCCACACCCCTGAAACATACCATCCCCTTTCTAATGCTAAGTAGTTGGTTTCCCGTTGCAAGTATGTACTCTGGTGCTTTGACTAACTTCAATCTGCATTCCCATGCAGTTATCTGGGTAGGCCTGTATACCTAGAGAAAGCTTCAATGCTCAACCCGTGGCTGTTCAGAGTACAGAGGATAGAAACATTTTTTCAGCAAGCCTACGGATAAAGCTTGAGTTGTAGTGGAAATAGTTTGGAATCATTACACAGTCAGCATGCAGACTATGGCAACACCCCCAAATCACTCAGATTTTGACCAATTTGGAAATCAACTGAAAGATGCTTTTCCTGGGTAAAAACAGTTTCCCAGATGAAACTAACTGGAGTTCATTCTTGGAGACAAGCTGGAAATACACTGAAAGGAAAACTTCACCTATGGAAAAAACACTCTACAGAGTCTCTGCTATAAAAGCCTGGTTTTCTTCTGCCTTAAGCCAAGTGCAATAAAGAAATCCTCAGAGAAAGATTCAGTGATGAACTTACTGGTTGAGCCCATGTGCCCATTTAAAATACTAAATTCAAATTCTGCCAAGGCACAGAATCCTTGACAGGAAAAAATGCTTCAATATACCCATGCAAAAAATTGGGTGCAATTTTGCAAATTGCAAATGTTTTTTGCAAAATTTTTGCAAAAATGCAAAAAATCAGAGAGTAGAATTCTGAACAGTCCAAGGACTGTGGGAGGAGAAAAGAAACAAAAGAAGGGGTAAAAAATAAAAATTAAACAGCATAAAAATGAGGAAAGGAGTATCACATATAATGATCTTTCCTATTCAGAAGCCACTAAGAGAAGAAATATATTAGGAATGCTCTTCACCATATACTACTCATCAGCATGTTTGCAAAATGAGTATATTCAGATATGCTACCTAAAATATACTGGCTATGTTTTCAAGTGTCATGACATGTAACTGCCATGTAAATAGCAATACAGTTAACCACATCAAGAAACATGAGAAAATTTTACATGTTATGCTATTTAATGCTGACAACAAAACTGAAATAAAGGTTTTAGATTAGGAGTGGCCAATTTATGGTTTTTATGTCAGGAACAGCACACAGTCTATTGTCTTCCCCAAGATGCCTTCTGGTATACCTATTTAATTGATGCAACAGCCTTCACCATACAGAACTCTGGACAGTGCTTTATAAGACCAAAAGGCTTACTCTCACAATTCAGAAAAGTCTAACAAACACAAAGTTTTAAAATAGGGAAAAAGAATCTTTTCAGATATACAACACATTACTTCAGAGAGTAACTTGTAAATATCACTTTTCTGTACAATATGTCATATCAATTTCTGGGGCAGGAACTGGAAGCATACTGCCTCTCCAATGCCTTCCCAAAGGCCCTATTAAGTGCCAGTTTTGGAACTACTATTAGTAAAAGTCCACCCCCAAGCAATTTTTGAATCTGCAAAACGGTGACCTGTACAATATCCAAGCCTTGAATATCACAGTGGAGCTGATGAAAACCTCTGAGAATTTAAGGGCTTCTGGCCAAATACTCACCAGTGCAGGCCACTGTGCCTGCGAGATTCGAGTCCCCTGAAGCATAACTGGATCATTTCGAGGTGCCCAAACCAATGATCCTTCCAGCAGCAACACTATAACTTCTTCAGCATGGACTTTCACCCATGCATGTTGGCTCCAGTTACAGCCATCGAATTCCACATAGATCTGATTAAAAAAAATATTTAGAAGGTATTTCATCTCTTTTCAGACATTTAATAGAAAATAATATTCCTACAATCCTTATGGAAAACGAGACAGCAACTTTAGTAAGAAAGAAATCAGGATAACTATGGCAATGTTAATACTGAGAACACATCTACATAGCTATGGGAATCAAATTAACAATTATTAACCTATGAAAAATTACTTTCCCCAAACATACATCACTGGCTCCAAATGCTGTGTTTTCCTCTACAAAATTAAAGACATGAAAATTGTTCATCCCAAAATACAGATGATGACCCAATGCAAGCCTCTTTCACAGCAGGATTTTTTAGAGAATTTCAACACTCTTATTTGGCACTTCAACAGACAGCCTGTATCAGTATGGTTAACTGACATTCACAGAATGAAATGCTTCAGCCTGCAAGGTTTGTGTTTGCAAAACTCACTCTAAATCAGAAGCTTTGTCTTGTCTTGTACATTATTAAACTCCCTGAACAAATGCAAATATTTGGAATGGCATGAGATTACCCAGAATTACCTACTTGCTAGATTTTTAATAACCTTATTTACAAGTGTAGCAATATAAACCGCACTACAAATCTAAAACACTATTCTGAGATATCATCCTCTTTTTTTCCTATCACAAAGGACAACTGCTAAAGTCATTTGAAATTACACGGCAAGAATGCTAAGGTTACAAATCTCATTCCATGTTCCAACAACTGGAGCTATTAATTGTTAGAAAAGTCACATTCCTATCTCTCATCTACAGAACTTACACACTTGCCAAATATAATCAAACATGTCAAAGGAATAGCAAAAAATTACTAATCAGTAAGGAGCACCTTAAGCTGGACAGCCAAAACAGGGTTTTGTAACCATTACAAGATCACTGGAAAGCAATAAGGCACTAACTGGAGACAGACAGCTCTCTGCTTTACCAATAAATCCTATTAAAAGTATTAGAGACCACTTACGCCAGTACCCCACTCCTCCCCCCAGACTCAAAAGCTCAAACCACAAGGGAAGAATATGAAGTAACTTGATGAATCCTTAAACTCCGTTACTGCTTAAGTTGTCCTGATGAGAAACAGTACCAGACCTTTCAAGACATCCTTCCACCAATTCAATCATTTTCAGCAATATCATGGAAACTAGACTGAATACCTTTCCATTTTAAGTGGGCCTATAGCTTTCTTAATACTATATCTGCGCCACTTTGCCAGTAGTCCCTACTCAAATTACTTTGTATCCCAGGCCTCCTAACTTTCATCGTACTGTAGAGCTTGCCTATCCATTAAAACAGTCATCGCTCATACTTATGTTCCACATAAGAATAGCAGTATTGCCCTGCATGGGACACACTGAGTTACTTTGACATCAGCATGTCAAAGTAACTCAGTGTACTTTTAAAAGTACCATGTACTTTTACAATATTAGGAACTGAGTGAGATAAAGCTCAACAGGTCTTTAATAATCCTGTTCTAGTAAACATTTTGAGAAAGAGGATAATACCTATTTCCATTTAGAAGAGGCAAAGCTGTTTTATAATAGCAGCACAGTTTCACCTCAGGATTTCTTCTGGATGCTCTAAAGATGGGCCAACTAGGACTGACCTTTACATGTATTTCTTTTGTGGACTAACCACAATTAGATTACTCCCCATTATATGAAAGTAAGAATGTCTAAGAGCTACTCTCTGTAACCAAAATTTTACAGGGGAAAAAAAAAAGATCTAAAAATCTTTCAGAGGCTTTACCAGGAAAACAAAACAAACCAAACAAAAAAACAAATACCAATCAAAGCAAAAAAAACCCCACCAACAAAACCCATGCTTTTAAGTTTTATACTTGTCTGTTCCCAAGATTTCTGCCCTTGAAAGGTGCAGATAATCAACTGCACTTTTGTATTTCTATAAGCCAGACGTGAGACTACCGGCTAGCAATTGAAACCATCCTTATATATGAGAAAGGACAGACATAGGTAGACCAAAGTGTAGAAAATAAATTTTTCCTAGCCTTTACCACACCTAGTCCACATTATTACCTTAGAAGAGTATTTCCTAAGCAGTGGTTCACTGCTTGGTGCCAACTCATCACTTTTTCTGACAGAATGAATTTAAAAAGAAGTCTTCTCTGATAGTATGTCAGAATTATCACAGCACAGTGATAGTATATATCATTATCATATAGATAGTATTTATCATTGTCACAGTAGCATTCATTATGCATGGAAGAATCCATGAAAATGCTGAATGTCTCACATTATTCTAAATTCCACCTTGACTATTTTACACAGTTCACATTTTACAGTTCTTGCATAGATTTTTGAGAATACACTGCTTAGAGACAGCTACACCTCTGAAACAGCACTAAGTGGAAGCTTATTGATGAAAGGAACTGGGGAGAGAACTGCAGTGCTGAAGGTAATGAATTCACACATCAGCAAAAATGCAAGAATACTGATGACACACGTCCTATGCAGTCTGCTACAAGAGCAGCTCTTCAGCTGGATCTTAGCCCTGACACACTTCCACAATCCAGAGAGTCTCAAACATTTGATGCATTTCCCTTTTGAAAAAAACCTTTCTGCACAGGTTTTTCTTTCCTCCACCTTGAAAAAGTTAGGCAGCAGCTAGAGTACATAACCACAGCTCCCAACTGCAGACACAGGGTGCCAGGCCCCCCAGGTTTGCAAAGCCAAACCCAGCACACTGCTTTCTGCTGACAGCCATAGGTGCAGTTCTAGAACATGGCCAAAGAAAGTAATATCATTAGAGAATGGATGTCAAGGAGACAGTTCAGAGTTGGAACTCTGCAAACAAGCCCAAAGAACTTATAGTAATTACTAATTTTCAAAAAAAACTAATCATAAAGAGAACTAAAACTCTTCACAAACAGAGACCCTCATTCCTGCTACCATGGGTCACTAAATCTAGACACAGCCCTGCAAAGCATGCCAGCACTTAAAGAAAGTGCCTGCAGAACTGACACATGCAAAGAGAAATTCCACCAATACACTTCAAGAGCTCTTTTTAGGATCTCCACCCAAGCATTTCACTGAGCTATAATAGAAATAAACCAGATGAAGGCGAAACAGTTAAATACATGAAGCCCAAATTCCTACAATTAAAAACAAAATCTGAGACAAAATCAAATGGATAAGCCTCACTCAAAACTCAGCCTCCAAAATATATTTTCATATATATTTCACGCCGATCGAGAATATTTAATATCTTCCCGGTAGGAAAACAAAACAAAAAACCCCAAAACAACGCTTTGAGGTTATATACATACAGATACATCAGCACCAGAAATGTCCCAGACGTATCTGTTTCACATGTATGTTACTTCCAACTACCGCACCGGCGGCGCCGGACCCCTCAAATCGGTCGCTCCGCCCTTGCACTCGTCGCAGGCTGGGCCCGCCGCTTCCAGCCCCGGAGCGCGTCCCACGGG